TTCCAGGCCCATAAACATTTAGTTTTTAATCTGCCGCATCAGAGGAGAAAGTGAAAATAGTTGTAAACAGAGAGCAGGGCTTGAACCCCCCCATCTCCCCTTTTAAGTGAGCACATGGACACATGTAGAATGAGCAGTTCTTAGATATATAGCCCACCTAGGTAAAGCACTTTCAAATGTACTTCATTTATTTATTCTAGGCCTTTTTTTGGCCCAAAATCATCAAAAATTGCTGTCTCTAGTTTCATTGTGCCCTTTTGAAATTGTCCAGATTTTGCGCTAAGAGTCTAAAGCCACAGCAAAGGAGCAGGCCAAGAGGAAAAGCTTTTGAAGAGTTCCCACAGCTGTGAAAACACGGGCCTCAGGCTGTGTGTAGAGTTACTTCAAACAGCTGCTTCAGGTGACTAAACACCTTGAGTCTCATTCATCAAGTGTTGTTTATACTGGCTGACAGACCAGACTTGGAGAATTAACTCCGAGAAAAAAAGATGTACTACATACCAAGTATGGGAAAGGAACCCAGTCTCCTAAATAAGAAAGGGAGGAGGATGGGGGGAGAACAGGGGGAGGGAAGAGTCCCTTTAAAATAAAACAGATGAGGGCTAATTTTATTTCATGTTAATAGGCCTTTTGATGCCCTTTGCATGTTTAAAATCAGAGGTGAAGGAGTATTGATGGTTTGCCACTTCGTAATCATGCAAATAAAAGCAATTGGAGTGATCCCTGTGCCTTGACAAGAAGCTCAGCTAACCTGGTGTAAAATCTCACTGGCTAATTAGGAGCCTTGAATAACCTATTAAAATAAGACCCTTTTTCTCAACTATCCTCAACAGAGAATATCAGGGGAAAAAAAAATGCCCAGTGCTGCCACCCCCCTGCTCCCATTTAGCATCAGATTGTGTAGATTTCACCCGTAGTTTTGGTACAGGACTTATCACTCAGCTTGAGATAATATTCTTTCATCTCATATCCATATGAGAAGGTGACATGATAAGATATTTGCAATCGTGTAACTGCTTTGCATGGATCAAAAGAGGAATGAAAGAAAATGACATGAGTCAGTGTCAAGTGAAGTGCTACTAGTTAAGTAAGCTTTAAATATTGAAGGGGATTTTTAATATTTCCTTTTAATCTCGAAATCTGTCACTTGGTGATTCTTTATAACACTGGAGTTGTTACTAACAACATTTTCCATGGTTTCATTCAATCCAAATGCAAAAACCCACCCCATCTCAGTCATGGCAAATGTTGTAATTTCTACTGGCAATTTCTCACCCACAACCCAGGCAGATTTCAAAGAAAAGGAGATGTTTTTCAGGAGCTGGGATGCTGTTGGGATCCTGATGTTTGAACACTGGCAGTAGAACATAGACCAACATTGAGATTTCAGTGTTTTTCTCGTTTTTCCTTAACAAGCAGTCAGACTGCAAGAGTGAATATGCTTTCAGAGACAAAAATAGCGTTCAGAGGAAGAATTTAGAATCACAGAAAATTATTTTGAAAGAAGATTGTTTCGGAGGCTGTTTCCCTGACAAACTTGGTAAATAGTTTGGCAGATCCTGAGGCTGTTGGATTTGCATATGCATATAGAGGGGCTGAAGAAAAATACCAGGTGGTTTTCTTCTCAAAGCTTTGGAATAACACAAAGTTGATGGCAGTAGATTTACATTTTATTCTTTGGGAAAAAAAAAAAACAAAAAAGGCTAAACCCAAACCAATTTCTCTGAAGAACAGGATTGAAGAGTAGCAGGTTTAAAACTGTATGTGAGGAATATAGATGAACCAGTTTCTTTCTTTATTTAGGGTGAGTTATGTCCTTGACTGAGAAGGATCTCCCCATTGGTTTTTGTCTAGGCTGAGAGAGGCAATCCTAATTGGATTAAAACCCCCTAAGTAATCCAGTGCATATCCAAAATAAGAAGATCAAATGACTGAAATAATATCTTATTCTTTTCACTCCTGAAACAGTGATATCACTGGAAAGGATTAAAAATTAGGTTGTTTATGTCCCTGGCTGACATGATTTGGGACTCTTTCCCATGTCATTTATAACACAGTAATATTGGCCTTGTGGCTGATATCTACGTCAGGCAAAAATTTAGGGATGCTACATTAGGGAACTAAAAAAAAACTGGAAAACCTGCAAGATAGGTTCAGTAGCAGAGTTAGGGCATGCTGCAGTGGTGATTTGGGAAGGACATGGATTGTAAAAAGTGGTGTACTTCAAACCAGGCAGCTGGAGGTGCTCAAGGTTGGTTGGAGACCTCAATAATGAAGGAGTTGAGCCCCAACCCTTTCCAAACTGAGGGGAGTTTGCTGTGTCAGTGTCCCCTCCCTGCCATGGTGGCACTTTGTGCCTCACATGAGGGGCTCCATGCTGGCCAAGGGTATTTAGGCACAATTGCAGCTTAAATCACCGAGATTAATGTATAACTGTGGTCATACACAGACTACATCAGCTGAATATTGGTTCTCTTTGCAAGGCTCCGGGGGGAGATAAAATAGATTTGTAACGTTTGTTTTCAATAAATTACTTATTTGAGTCCAAACAAAATATTATTTTATTCCGTTTTGCTCATAATTTTGGACTGGGCAGCTACTTTTAGCTTGGAGAGGGCGAATTTTGGTGGATTTGGACATTAAAACACGGTGGGCTCACAACTTTTAATCAAAGCAGGCGCCGGGTCTGTTTGGGGCACAGAGCCCCACGTGTGGCTGTGCCGTCCACGACCTCCTCGCTGCCCTGTGGCGTTGGTGGATGCCATAAAACCCCTCTGTGAGCTGGAGAAGCTGGGATTGCCAGGCTGGGGAAGGAGGGTGGATCACCCAGGTGTCACTGTTTTAGGAGGTGAGTGCCTCTCTCTCCCCCTCCTTGCCATCAGCACCGCGCGCTCTGCCAGGCTTCGAGTGCCGCCACCCCGGCTCTTCATCCGGACGGGGCTGCCAGGAGCCACTTACACTCCTGTCCCTTGCTGGGACTTGAACACTCTCCAGGTCCCTTGATTTCTCCCCCCTCCTCCTCCTCCTTTTTTCAGGCTGATTTTTTTTTTTTTTTGGATAACGCAAAGTTTGTTTGTTTCCGTAAGTAAAACTGAAATTTCCCCGAAAAAGAGGAAGCGCCTTCCAGGCTTGCAAATATTTTGTTTGCTCCATTTTATTGTTGTGCCTTTTCTATGAATCTGAGCCATGACATTTACCTAAAAAATAGAGGATAATCTGCCCACTGGAGTGAAATTGAAAGAATCTGATGATAATAAGGATTACTATTAGTTACAACTGTGTAAATGTGGTATTTTGTAGAGTGTAGCTCCACATTTTGCAAGGGAGCTGAGAAATGTTCAGATCTCTCCTCTTTCGACAGCTCAGAGCACAATTAAAAGGTAACAATAATCTGAAAGATGGTGAATAGTCACTCTGGGGGTGTAAACAATCCCTTCTCATTTATTAGGATCACAAGAGTCCTGGTGTCAGTTTAGAGCAGCTCAGATCACCTTCAGTGAGATGTTTGCCACATTTCCTTAGGCTGAGCTTGATCTACTGGTTAAACAAAGAAAACACAATAATAAATTATCCAGAATTTACCTGTGCTCACCAGAGGCCGCTTAAAGCTTGCACAGCTTGTTATTTTTTTCACGTAATTTCCAATTTATTTTGTACTTTATAAGTTTGTTTTGGCTGGGATTGAAATTTAATTTGTTCTTCAAAGGAACATAACAATGGAAATACAAAGAGGAAGCTTTTGTTCTCTCCCTAGGAGTTCTGAAAGGTAATAATTATGAAATGATAAGATTCTAAATGAAAATGTCACTTGCAAAGGTTGAGGTTGAAAACAGCACAGACCTATGTAAAGCGAGAAAAGTCGCTTTTGATTCATGAACATAAATACAACCAGAATGATTTAATTTTAAATCATCTGATGATTTATCGTATAAATATTTTACAATTTTGAAAGGAAATTCTTCAAAGCACGGATTTCTCTGAGAACACAATGCAGCTTTGCAAAAACAGCACTCCTGTATTATTAATAATAATAGTAATAGTAGAAAGATTAATAAAATATCATAAAAGTAGACTAGAGGAATAGTTATTTGTATAAATTCCGACAACTGCTATTCAACAATACCCTGAATCAGATGTAGGAGCAAAGTTTTATATTGTCTCTGCTCTGTGTTGTTACAGTGATCAGCATATCAATGTCTCTGTCTCTGCGCTACTCAACCAATGTTTAAAACAAATATATTCCTCCAAATTTAGCTTTATGCACTGCATTTCCTTATTTATTTAAACCCTTCTACTTTCTGCTACCTGCTACTTTCTGCCTGTCTTTCCTCCTGTTTATGTTTATGTGTGGGCATGCATGTTGATTTTCAGAAAATTTGTTTTTGCATACACATTACCTGCCTCCTTCTGTACATCTTAATCAGGCAAATTCTGCTTCTGTACATCTTTATCAGGCAAATTCTGCTTGAGCAAAATATATTTTGGTGGTGTTTACCCCTGAATTATATATGTTGGGTTTTCCTTCAAAACTCAGGAGTATATTTTACAATTAAAACATTGGTTTGGCATTAGAGTTTGTGCCTGAGTGTTGTTGCTGCCCAAAACAATGACCTGATAATGCTCATGGTAAAATTCTCTTTCTCACAGTGATGTAGAGCTCCCACACAGGTAAATATTGGAAAAGTTTTCCAAAGAGGGGATACTGGTGGGGGTTGTGAAATCAGATATAAAGGAGGGTCTGCATTTCCTTGCTGACAGAAACAGCTTGGCACTGATTGCTATCTCCATCTCATTTCAATTTTCCCTTTGAAGATGTCAGACATTATTTTCAGCTCCTTCTTAGTTGTTTTACTTCCTCTGAAGTCTTGGTATAACTGGTGACCCAGCTCCCTTCCCAATGTTCCTTTCTTTTGGCTGATGCACTTAATTTGTTACCTCAATGTCGTGCTATCAGTGAGGCTGGAGGAACGTTGTCTTGCATTAAAACATTTTTTTTTCCAGTCCCCAAATGTTAGGTGATGATTTAGAGCACACAAATACAGTTTTTGTTTCTAGCCTGGTTAGATAAGCTTGTGTAGAATAACCTATCTATTAAAAAGTCCCAGTGGGTGATTAATTCATTACATCTGAACTCTTTTCTTGTGCATAAAGATGCTTTTAGAAATTAGGTGTTGATAAAGAATTGTGAGTAAAACTGTGGTGCAGCTCAAGTGCACAAGGTTCTTAAGTAATTTTTTCCCAACATTTGTCCAAGTGCTATCTTGGTAGATGGTACAAGTATGGAAAAGTTTTGTTGCAATCCTTTTTGAATGGAATCAGCTTTTATTCTGTTCTTTTTTCTTTCTTGTACTGAAGGAACACGGAGTTTCAGTGAAGCTGCAAACGCTGTATGACTGTTTTAGTTGGAAAAGGGAATTTTATCAAAACTGTCTGCGTGGTGGATGATGATTAATTTCTAATTTCAAGCATGGCATATGGTATAATTCTTACTTGAAATGAACAAAAGCACTTGTGATTACCTGAACCAGATCTGGCTCCAGTATTTTCAGGCACCTTTGCTAAAACAAACAAAAAAAAGGTAACACAGGTATTCATTTAAACAATTGAATAAAAAAATGTTCCAACAGCATTTACACTCCTTGAGTTCACTTTTAAAATGTTATTAAAAAAGAAGTATCATATGATTTTGTGATTATTAAAAAAAATAATATTTTTTAAAAAGAAATGTGGTGAAAGATGTTCTCAGAAACTATTTTAAGAGCATATGCTAATTAGAAGGATAAATTTGTAGAAGTTGTATTGGATACCAACATTTCAAAGACCTTACAGTTTTCACTTACAAAATTTCAAGTTTGCAAAGTACTGAAATATTTTGTTCTGTCACTGTGTGATAGCAAATCCAGTAGACCTTCTATGAACTGCCTATAAATGACTGGATGGTGGGTGGAGAAATTGGGGCGTGTGGTTAATATTCACATTTCATTTTCCTTTTTCTCTCAACTCTTTAAAAACATTTTTCTCATGGCAATAATGGGCTTTCTAACTTTGCTGTCATAAAATGGACAATTTCTTGCAGAATATAGGTGAAAATTTAACCAATATTTAAACGTCTTGTTCCTAATATGGTCATTAGCAAGACTTTGCTGATTAAAACAGTGGTATTTATGGGGCATTACTCTTATTCCAAGTTTGAGTTTAAAAATTCAAGAGAAAAGCTGCCTAATTTATATAATTACTCTTATTTGTGTTGTATGTACTTTAGATCTTTATTAATATTGGTTAACATCAGGTAAACGATCATGAAATCCTCAAAACAAATTTTGTGCATTTGCGTATCTTTCCATTCTTACTTCTTTCTGAAATTAGGGGAATTGCAGAGGATTATAAATACAATTTTCTCGTGCAATTTGAGATGTAGAACCTAAAAAATATCTGCAAGGCTATTTGATGGGTCAGGACAATAATCATGGTCATATAAAGAAAGACTTTAGAGTGGACCAAAGTTCTTACTGAACTTTTTACCTATTTTCTAAAAGATAATAAAAATCTAGAAACCTGCTGTAGGTCAGCAGAAGAATTTCTTAGTGACCCCACTGAAAGTTATGGAAGGGGAAGTTTTTATGTGACTGTAGGAAATTTTTGCTGTAAGCAAAACAATGACCTCGCATTCAGACACGGTCATGTTAAATCCCAAGTATTTGGCACGTTTAAATATTTCAATGAGCGTGTTTTTACATCTGAAGAGTAAATAAATACAGGGCAAAAATAAACCTTACTTTAAAAAAAAGATGCTAAAGCAAACATATAGGTATTGCATTTTTATGTTGGTCTTAAAACAAGCCCAAGGCATTCTCCCACACTTTTTTCCCTGACATTATCTCCACCTGTAATAATAAAACATGTCTTCTGATTACTGTGCTTTCCATTATCTCATGTCTGTACCTAATTTATTTGCTACCCAGTCTTACTTTCCCTGTACTAAAGGGATCTTTCTCTTCTAGTAATGCAGTATCAGATTGTGAGACATGGACATGCCCCCAAAATTTTCTTGTCTTGCTGAAAAGAAGTGTTTAAGTTGTAAAATATTTCAGAGCAGGATGTGTCCCAAACTAGAAAATGGAACTACATTTATATGATGTTTTTTTAATTTCTTATAAAGAGTAAAATAAAGTTGCTACTTTAGAAACCGTGAAATTGTAAAAACCCAAGGAGTGCAATGAGTTTTAATGTCCTTCAAAATATAATACCCTCACAATGATTTATAAAATATTACTGCATTAGAATGCAGATGTGGTCGTAGTTTTAATATGTATGTTCTCAAAGTTATTGGGAGTGTTTATGCTCCAACAGTTAAACTAATATACAGATGTCTAAAAAAATCAGAATATTTGACCATACATTTAAGACTATTGATTAAATTAGGAGAAACTTTCCACAATCCATTTTCCAGGTGTGGAAAATGGATAAATCCATCTTTTATGCTTTGTGACTTTCTTATATGCGTGTATTCATTGTAAAGATTAAAAGTAGCTTCATTTTTGGGGTTTTTTTGGATAAAAAACTCTCTGCAGGTCTTGTTCTAAGACCTTGGTGGTGTTACAGCCAGATGAAATAGTCATCCTTTGATATCCATGTCAACGGGAGCCTTTCCATTGTTTTCCATGGGTATTGAAAGAGTCACAGTGTGCTTTGCTGTGATCCCAAACCCGTGTGATTAGCAGGACAGAGGAGATTGTGCGTGTTGAGTGAGTGATTTATGCGCCGCTTGTTTCTGTTGTCCACAGAACATGGGCTTGCTACAAGATGAACTCTGATTTCAGGAAATTACCCACATTGTCAGCAAATTTGCTTGTCCTTCTTTAACATTATGAACAGCCCATTTTTCATGTTTTAGAAATATTTTAATGCTGGACTTTGATATATTATTACCACATGGTCATATCACAATAAACTTTCCACTGCACACAGACAGGCTTGAGGATTCCTTAAAAAAAAAAAATAGTATCAAAGGAGCAATACCCTTGGGTCCCTGCAGAGATCCAAAGGAAAAGATCTCCCTAGAGCTGGCTCAGTTTTACTTTTCCCATAGATAATCACAGTGCACAGGAGTCAGAGGTTCCAGTCTCAAATTTACCCTGAGAATAAGGAATTTTGGGAAAAGTGGCATGCACGATGGAAAGGAAAAAGTTTGAAAGGAAAAAGTGCCAATCTGCATAAGACTGGTAAAACAAAAATACTATAAAAAGGTCAAAATTGGTGATGTGACTTTATCTATAACAAGAAATAATGACACCAAGGGAAATTGGGATATGGGAAAGGTATATAAGTCCCTAATTTCTGCATGAAACACCCTATGTTATGTTTTGTGGGATATTTTGATTACCTGATGGGAACTTATGAACCTCTCCTGGAGAAGATGGCTGGAGTTTATAGCCTCCCTTCTCAAGAGAAATGGGAATTTACCTTTCCTAAAAGTCTTGTTCCAGCAGACAGAGGTAAAGGAAGAACTGATTAAGATTCCCCAAGAGTGATAAGAGTTACTCCCTAGAGTTGAAGGCCACATGTGTGATTTGGAAAACATAATTTGTTTCTGGATGAGATTTTTTTCCTCTCAAATTCTGTATAAATAAAAGAACAGAGGTTCTCTGAGCTGATTTGTGTCTACACTGAGGGCAGGGTCGAGTTAAGAGCTGAGATAGCTGAGGAAAGGGCTTTGTTTTCCATTATTAGCTACAGGAAAGGCTAGAATGTCCATTTGAACTTGAGTCTCTATCCCATCAAAGTATCAGCCTGAGGACCTAAAAGCAAACAAACAAATAAAAAAAAGGCCATTATTTTTTATCAAGCTTGAAATTTCTCTCTTTGAGGCTGGTCAAGTGCTGGAAGAGGGGTCCAGTGGGAGTCTTAGGAAAGATTATCCTTGGAGGTGTTCCAAGGAGGCCCTGGGCTCTGGGATTGGTCTTTTTGTGAGTGGGTGTTTGGTCTAGATGTGCCACCCAAGATAAATTACCCTGTGAGTCCCTGACAAACTGAACCAGGACAAACCCAGATATATCTAAGTGAAGTTTGTCTTGGTCTTCCATAGAATTTATTGACTTAAAGTATGTATTTGGGAAGGAAAATAATCCTCAAATTAATTTTCCCTTGCAACTTGATATTTTTTGATATATGAGACACAAATATTCCTCATCTGATTTTGATAAGAGACAGGTTTAGCAATTTAAAATTGTATTGGTTAGAAGTATTCTAGTGTTAAATATTATATAGTTATAAAGTAAAATATTAAAGTATCAGAGCACTTTGGTTTCTGGCTCTTTAGGAACACTCTGAAATATTGAAGAGCAGCAGAGAACCAGTGAGTCAAAAGAAATCAATGCAATATATTGAAATAATGAGAATATCTCTAGAATCAAGGAGGATCCCAGTATCTCCCATAGCCTGCAGTCTGGAAGTTTGCAAATTCTGGCACTGGCAATGCCTCCCCACAGCATCCATATCTTCCCATTTGGAATTCTGCATTTCTTTCTTTGGAGCTCTGCATCTTTTTCTTCAGACCAGTTTCAAACATCACCAAATTCTCTGCCCTGGGTTCACTGTCCAAGCAGGCAGAAAGAATCTCTTTTCTAATTTTGTAAAAGATGGAGTCTTAATCCCTTGACTTTGAGTGATGAGGTTAAAGAAGTAGCTCAGATTTTTTTTTTTTTTTTGATGAAGTGAAGGATAAAGGGACCTTTCTTTTTATATTCCTCTAATTCTTTATACAAGCGTGAGCTTCCACTTCCACATTTAAGATTGCTCCTGGAAACTAATTTCAAGGGTTATACTTATATGAAAAACCTGTACCTAGAATTATTTTTACCTCTTTTTTTTCCCCTGTAACTTCCCGTATCTTGATTTTTTCATTCAGGAAAACTGAGGGATCATTTTGGCAATTATTATTTTCTTGTAACGATAAAACCTCATCCACAACATCTTTACATCTCATGTGTAACAGGGATAAACTGAAATGAGCTCATTGCAATAACAATTTTTGTTCTGACTTGCATGTATTCCTTTTTTTTTTTGTTGTTGTTGATATGAAGCAAGTTTACTCTACAATGACCAAAAAGTCTCACATTTCCCTGTGTACATTGTGAGACAGAATATTTGCTTTGAAACCTGTGACAGATAAATCTCTATGGAATTCAAGGGTGAGTGACATTACTGCCACAGAGCTACAGCCTGGGTGAGGTCACCATACAGCAAGTGAGCAGAAAAATAGATATTTAAAGTCATCCAACCAGAAGAGATTTGTTCTTCTGACTTGATGTCATTTCCATTTGCAAATGGAAAAAATCATGGAATCATGGAATGGTTTGGGTTGGAAAGGACCTTAAAGCTCATCCCATTCCAACCCCTGCCAAGGGCAGGGACACCTTCCACTGTTCCAGGGTGTTCCAAGTCCTGTCCAACCTGGCCTTGGACAATTTCAGAGATCCAGAGGCAGACACAGCTTCTCTGGGCACCCTGTGCCAGGGCTCCCCACCTTCACAGGGAACAATTCCTTCCCAATATCCCATCCATCCCTGCCCTCCATCAGTGTGAAAAAATTTCCCCTCATCCTTTCCCTCCATGTCCTTGCCCAAAGTCCCTCTCCAGCTCTTTTGGAACCTCTTTAGGTACTATTTCTTGTGGTGTTCTGGGTTTGTTTTTTCCTCCACCTTGTAAATTGAATTTCTTCTGATTTCTTTGCTCCTCTGGTTCTGCTTCTTGTTAGCAAAACTGAAGCAAAATCAGACTTCCTGTGCAACTGGAAAAAACTGTGTTGAGTTTGGTTGTCAAACAAGGGAAGGTTCAAGAGCTTTGAGCCTGTTTTATTTGAATCAATCAAAATCCAGAAGTCCAATAGGTGCAATTTGTTATATGGCATAAATGGGATTATTATTGTCCTGTCTTCTCCCTGGGAGCTATCCTGCTGCTTTCTGCAAGCAAGGGTGACTTTGGCAGAGGTTTTAAACCCTCTTCTTAATAATTCCCCCCTTGAACATTTATTGCAGGTTTGGTAGTCTACCTTTATTTGCATTTAACTGCATTTACCACCTACCCACTATTTAAAAGATCTAAATCTGCCTGTGGATTCCAGAGTTGTTGATCCTGCTGGATGGATTACCCAGTGAAAAGAGTGGTTTTGGCTGTGTGGGTTCACAGATCCATTTCCCCAACATCAAGAACACCACCCATTGACAGCAGGCCTCATCAACAAGTACAGTCAGGAAACGGCCAGGAATGTCAAATATTTATCCCTTTTAAAAAATTTAATATGTTCTCCTGGGGCCTGATTACAGAATTTTTTAATGCTTACAAATTTCTTCAGTGCAACAGTACTAGTTTGTTTCCAAGGAAACAAATGTACTTATACTGCACTGCACACATTCTTAATCATTAAATTCTATAATCTCCCTGCCTCGTTCTTTCTTTTCCTCTCTCTCTCCCTCTCTCTTTGAATGGGTAACTTCTAAAAATTGTTTGCTTTTCTTTTTTTTTTGAGTGGAGTCCCCAGATACTCTTTAACTGCAGGTAAATTTTCAAATATGTTCTCAACAAAGCATTGTTTCACATTACTGAAAAAAACCCCAAACCCCTTAATTGTTGAGAGCTTTTATGAAATCATCTTAATCAAGATAAATATGTATCCTTTATTCTTGTGCTATTTAATTTGCAAATTTATTTTTCTGAAGCGGATCTTCAGTGTGGTTTGATGTGAAATGTCTGGGTACGAGTGATATTTAAAAATCAATCTTAAATGTATATTTTGTTAATTCAGGCTCTGCGGACTATGTATGTTTATGCAACACTGTTTCTGTAAGGGAAAAAAGTGTGTGAGCTTATATGGTACTTTACAGATATACAATTTATGTATAAGATGCCAGCTTTGAATTTGTCATTCAAAATATACTAAATATTAACTGAGGACTAATAGGAGCTCACTGGATGGGCGACACATTTTTAAAGTGACATCTTAGCATTCAAACCATTCATATTCTTCAGTGTGAATGTAATTTTTATCTAAATGATTTCAGAGGAAAATTGATTCATTTGACTATAGTGCTCCTAAGACCAGTGGGAAGCTCATCATCTTAATATTGAATCTGTAAATCCTTTCCACTAGGGATGATTAACAGCTTTGTCAAGTGTTTATTTTACTTTAAGAAGAATATGTAATTTCCTGGCATAACTGAGACAGATTTCACTCCATTTCTTCCTTTGCATGTCACATTCATGCTGTAGGTTAGCATGATCGAGCCTACCTCTATTAGACTTCTATTTTGAGCAGTAAAAGGATAGCCTAATAAGTTTTCATAGTTTAATGAGCAGACATCAGTTTGCCCTGTGATTCATTTATACTTGATAAATAAAAACCCCTCAGCAGTCCTGATAAGAAGTAATAACAGGGAATTACTTCCAGATGGCACTTTTGCAGTGCTGCACGTGTGGTCTGAGCTGCCCATGGGATAGAAACCCCACGTTAGAGCAGCCATGTGCTGCTCCCAGCACTGGGAATCCATGGCAGACCCTTCTTGGTGGCAGGACAAGGACAGGCCACCAAGCTGAGATTTACTGAGCAACCAGCAGCTCAAGGACAGAATTTTCCCCATTCCTGCTACAAAGGAGAGTAAATTGTATTGGTAAAGCTTTACAGGAATTTCTTGATACACCATTTTCTCACTCCTTTTGTTATGGAGTGCCTTCTTCAGCATTGAGGTTCTGGCCAAACCTCATCTATTTCCTTGGTCTTCCTTGCTTACTTGCATTGGAGCACACCAAAAACATTCATTTAATGTATATTTTTGGTCTACTTTTAATGTAGACAAATCTTAAAATATTTTATTTTCATCGTAATGAAAAAGAAGGTCTATCAAATACCTGAAAACTAATAAAATGCAATAGATTTTGATTCAAAAGATCTTAGAAAAAGTGGGGCTGTGTGGAAGAGTTTAGCTGTGCAGGGACATTTCCATCTGCAGGGACATTTCCATACTCAGCTTTGCATGTGAAATCCAGAGGTGGGAGCATTCCAAAGGGAATGGGAAAGACAACGTCCTTGGTGCCTTAGTTGGAATATCTGATCACCTACAGATTCTTCATCACTGTGCCAGGCAATAAAAGGTTATGGAATCATGAACATCCCCACCCAAAAGCCAATACATTACATTCACACTCGTGTCATCTCCCATGTATAATTATTTATGGCACCAAACCCCAACATCTTCACTAAATCTGTCAGAATTCAAGTGTTACATCAATGCTATCAAGCACAGGGTGGAATTTTTGGGGAGTCCTGTGCAGGGCCAAGAGTTGGTTTTGATTATCTGCGTTCATCCCTTCCAACTCAGCACATTCTATGATTCTCTGATTCTATGATTATCTTTTTTTGGGTATTTAATTTGTGACCTTTCCCTTCCTTGACTGTCCATATGAAATACATGAGCTTTGACCACAACCTCAATGCTGAAGAAGACACTCAGTAAAAAAAGGAGTGAGAAAATGGTGCATCAAGAGATTCCTATGAAGCATTACATATCTGAAATATTCTCACTTGTAGCAGGAAGGGGAAAATTCTGTCCTTGTGCTGCTGGTTGTCCAACTAATCTCCGATTTTTTGGGGAGTTGTGGTGAGAAGTGTAAATGAAAAGTTTAGCTAGTAATGAGCTCTGTATGGTTTGGACCTTCTTGTGCAGACTGGCAAAGTAACAGATTTCAGGGGAGAAAAAAAAAAAGTTTGCTAAAAGCTTTACTTTCTCTTCCAATATGAGATTAATTACAGCCAAAGCAATCAGGGAATGCTCCTGCTTTAGGAATAAATGTTGTGAGCGTGATTGCCTTCAGAACAGGAGTGACACAAATCTATTCTGCCTCTGAAACGGTACCATCAAGCATTGTTTTGTTTGGGTGTTTCTGCAGAAAGTGCTCCGTGCTCTTTTCTCTCCAATTTCCTGCTCAAAGTCTAAAATAGAAATTGCAGATTAGAAAATCCTTTGAGAATGGGGTTCAGCAAGTGAAACTGCTTGAAGGTAAGTTTCATACTAGTTTGACTGAATTTAATGAGCCATTGTTAGGAACCAAGCAAGCAAGTATTCTAGTGAGGCAGGAGGTATACACAAGCTGTCTTTTCAAGAAACCATTGTAAATCTGGTAACAAAGAGAGCCTGACTTCCTCCTTGAATTACCATGTTGACAAAAAAAGTCTACTGCATGCACTGATAGCAAATGAGATACATTCTGCTGGTAAAGAAAATTAGACCTTAAATTTAACTCTCTAAAGCCTAGCAGCTAGGGCAAGGGAAAAGGCAGAGTCATGCTGAAAATCAAGCTGTTGCTTCAGCACAGGCTGTGTGTAACTCCTTGTTCTGAGACAGAACATTTTGTGCAACTTTGCTCTATGATTAACAAATGTATTTTAACAGAGAGTAAAAAGCATGGGGAGAGTGGGGGGAAGAAAAAAATAAACCGACATAGCAAGCTGTGTCTTTAACCAGTAGGGATTAAAGAATTCACTTTGTTACCTGGGAGGCATCAAGGTGAAGGTCTCTGGTTCTGAAGGGCTGTGCTCACTCAGTGCTTGCTAACCTTGGGCTGGCTGCTTGGAACGTGTGTCTTTGCTGTAGCCTGAAAAGGGTTTTTTAATATTTAAAGTTATTAGTTTATAGTATCCATGTAATTTCTTCAGCCAAAGGGCTTTAATTTCTTTGATGTGCATCTCTGTTCCAGCTGGTACTCCTACCACTCCTGCTGTCTCTTAGCCCTAAGTAAGGTTTCTCTCTTTGTTAAAGCTGGTGCCACTGATTTATCTTCAGCTCTGAGAAGGGCTTTTATCCATTTTAAAAGTGATGCTGCTGAGACAGCTTTCCCTTGCCCTGAGAAGATGATTTTTTAATTCATATTTGGTGGTTGGTTGGTGGGTTATTTTTTTTCCTCTTTTTTTTTCCTTTCCTTTAAAAAGTATTTTTACATAGAGGTGTATTTCTCTCAGGTTGCCTGTGGGGTCTCCTTCTATGCTGTGTTCTTTCTCAGAAAAGAATTTTTTTGGGAAAAAAGCAAATTTCCCTTCTTTTTGGGAACTCTCCCCACCCCACTGGGGGCTACAGACAATATTGTCCTAAAGAGGATCTCGGTTGTGGTGTGGAAGACTTTTCCTCATTCAGGGTTCTTTATCAGGGGAAATCATCCTGGACTTTCCCCCTTAAACTATTCAAACTATTTTTCTTCCCTACATGTGCTGGAGTCAAGAATGTCCTTGTGAATCAGGCTCATAATTTGTTATTTAAAGCACATACATAGAGTTTATACACTTGTGGCTTCCTGGACTGGCCTTCCTAGGTTGTTTTCCCATTTTATTGGTTATGGACTCTCCTGTACCCTGTAGTGCAGATTTTTTAAAATATATTTAAAATGAAAATTATGAGAATTATCTTTATACAGATAACTAAAGACAGCTTTTGAAGACATCTGGTCTTCCTTGGTTACTTGGGTCCAAGCACACCAAAAAAATTTATTTGATGTATTTTTTTGTCTACCTTTAATGCAGACAAATCTTAAAATGTTTTATATTCATCTTAATAAAAAATAACATCTATGAAATACCTGAAAACTAATGAAATGCAATAGCTAAAGATTTTATAAAAAGATTGCTGATAACTCTAAAAACCAGAAACAGACTCTGAAAACGGAGCTGCTGGCCGGGACACTTCAGAGAGACTGTACACTAAAGAAAAGAGTATTTTTTTCACAGGATCTTGAGATACCTTCAGCAATTGTCAGTCTCCTGTGGAAAAAAAAAAAAAAAAAGAAGCTTATTTACTGTTAAAAGTAGCGAGTCATTCCATCAAAGACAAAATTATCTTGTAACTTGGTATAACCAAAGGCCCTGCTGCCATCTACGTGCTGAGTAATCTTCAGCCTTTTAACAGTTTTCTCCTCTTTTGGAGTCAGTCAGAATTATGAACGATCTGGGGTCTCTTACATTGCCTGCAGATGAGACAAAATGCTGTTATGGAGGCCAGCAAATAAAGCTTTACACTAATCAAATGCTCTGCTGAATAAAATATGAGCATGTTATTTTGCATAATAAATAGCAAGCCAAAATAGAAATTGAACAGTGGCACTAATAAATAAATAAGATCATCTCAAGCTGGTTTTCAGGAGCAAAAACTTCAAACTGCATCCATTTTGGATGGGTGTGTGTGAGTGCATTCGTGGGGACAAGCAGAGGTGAAATGGTGGCATATATTGGTTTATTCTCTACCTTTTTTTGTTTCATTCTCTGTTTGGATCATTAATCCAGCAGGAATGAGTAAAGAAGCCCTTCTTACCACGGAAGTGGAGTTGGATGATTTTTAAGTTCTCTTCCAACACAATATCTGTATTTCTGTTCTTGCCTTGCAAAGCCAAAGCCTTACAGTCCGTTTCTGCTTTCTGGAAAGAAAACAGATCCTCTTTGCATTGAGAAAAGCAGTTTAAATATTTCATTTTAGGTGGCTGGGAGTCTCTGTCTGCAGGCAGGTCAGGGAAGGTGCTGTCTGTGCTCCTTGGGCACATCTCTGCTCTTTGGAGAAGTTTATTCCTCATCAGGAAATACAAGAAAAGGGGAAATAGTTTGCTTTTGATATGTGTTGATTTTCAGTGAAATAAGAGGCTTTCAAAGAAAAACAAACCTATTACCATAGAGTAGTTCTGTTATGAAGAGGAACCAAAAACCCAGACAAAGCATTTTTAATGAGTTCTGCTGTAGTTTTTAATTAACATCTCCCTCATTCCCTCCCTAAACTTAGACTACATTAAGAAGTTTAAGCAGCCCAGTGTCAAACTGGACTTTAAATTTAAACCAAAGACCTGTGGGACAGGGAGGATCTGTGGTACCTCTTCGATAAATCATGACAAAATTCGAAACAAAGCCAAACAGGAATTATTTTTTAAAAATTTTTAGGAAGTCATGTGTCACCTGTCACCACTGGTGACACTACAACCAAAGCAGTAACAAAAATCTGAAGAGGTCAGCAAATTTTCAGTTACCTCAGTTCCTCCTTTTTTTTTTTTTTTTTTTTTTTAATTCATTTTTTCCTTGCTTTCCAATCACAGGAGAGCTTTTTTATTATTTTTTTTTTTCTTAGGAACAAATATCAGGAAACTGCTCTGCCTCTGCTCTTTGCTTTCAGTTTTCATTCTGAAGTGGCAGGGCTGGGGCCAGGCAGGGATGTTTCCAGTGAGGTGCCAGGGTTGGGAGTTCCTCATCCAGCATTTGAGTCTCGGGGGATGGAGGGAGCAAAGCAAGAAAGAAAGGATCTGTCTCAGCAATATGCTGCACTCAGCCCATTCAAGTTTTTTTCTCAAAAAATTAAGCTTATTTATACCCACATGATATGTAAATCCATTATGGAAGCATCACATTTTCTTTCTTTTTTCTCCTTCCCACAAAACCAGACAATTCCCAAGACCATTTTGTGTTATTTCTCCATCTATCTCAGGCTGGGACAACTTTTTTTTCCTAAACCTATATCAAATACTTTCAAATTATAGCTTTAAATTTTCCCCTCTGATGCCCATAATAACCATCTTTTCCTCTTCTTCATGATGCTCACTGCTTCCTAATCTTTTATTTTAAAAAAATAACTTCTATTTTGTACTTTTTTCTCTCATTTCCTCCTGATGTCACAAGTCTAATATTGAGAACTGCTCTCCCAGTTTAGCTCATTAATGCCCATCTGCTGTTCAGGGGAGCAGCCTCACCCATCCTGCTCTCAGTGCCCTGGATATCTACAGAGAATTTCAGTCCCCCTTCCCCCAGGTGTGTGACTTGCTGCTTAGAATCCATAATGCCCCAAGCATCTCATTTTCCATAAATAAATATGTATTTATTTCCATAAATATATCTATTTATTTCCATAAATATATATCTATATATATAATTTCAACTTTCCTACACTGTATGCAGAGTAGCCCAGTGACTCTTTTGATGTTTAATACTTGGTTTTTTTGAGGAGTCATTGTGAGAACCCAAAATTCAGACTCAAACCCCTCAAGTGATGTTTAGGTGTTTAAATCTTTCCTGAACCTGCTCCTTTTTCTGTAAATTAAGGAGCAAGTTCCCCAAAGTGGGGAATATTAATGAAAATTAATTACTCATTTTCATTACAACCTTTTTCTGAAGCTGAGGTTTATTTTTCCATAAATTGTTAATCCTAAATGACTACACTGATAAAAAATATTACTTATTTGCAGGCAGTTTGTTAGTAGAAAACAAGATCCCTATTTATCCTGGAATTTATTCTCGATTGATAACTCAAGTGTGTCTTTTTTGTCTCTTTGACCTCTAGATATGCTAAAAAAGAATAGCAAATAAATCCTATTAAATTAAGGTATTCATATTCACATTCCTGCTGTCTACTGAATGTATTTTCCCTGAAAAGTCCTTGGCTTGCTTATTGGTGTTGGATAACACCACATTTTATTAAAGATCTGTGAAGTGTTTCCTAAGATGTTACACAGAGTATTTTATATTTTTTTTTGACATTTAAGTTTTACAAAATCTTCTTGGCTTTGCATAGGTGATAACAGGAAAGAGGAATAATGAGACAAAACCTCTTCTTTTGGGCTTTTTCATTGAGAAATAAATTATTTCATGGCTTCTCATTAGTTATTCCCATGGCTTCTAATGACAAGGTGCCAACTTTCACACTTTAAGCAGGTTAATTAACCAGGTAGTAATGAAATTGGGTGATACCTGTGTGTTGGTGAGCCACAGCTCCTAATAATGTGCTTTAATGTCTCTGAAAGGATATTTTCAGCTCCAGCTCTTCTCAGCACTGCATAAATAAATGTTTCCCAGCTAACAGGCAAACTCGTTTTAAAGTTGCACTTTGGTCACCATTATTATGCTCCTTGAAGTAGATGTTGATATTTCTGCCCTTTATGAGACCATAAAGGGGACACCAAGAGAGGTGGAAGACCTCAAATATTGTGTTTATTTTCCTCCTATCCACTGGCCACGTGTTAAATATTTTAATGTTGTTTCTTTGCCCTACAAAAGATAAAATTAAATTTAAAAATTGATGTTTAAAGGTTTACTTTAGGATAAAATTGATGTAGGAATGTGAGCAAGTAGCAGGGACCAAGGTTAACAGAGTATCACATGTGCACAAGGAAGGAAACACAATTGGAAAAGATAAGGAAAAACCCCAAAAACACAACAAAAATTGAATTTTGAGCTTTCCAAGAGCAAGTCTCATTAGCTGTGTGATTTATCTAATTTAAGAAATATCTCTTAAAGAATCCCAAGGTGCATCCTTAGCTGGAAGAGCTGCTAATAACCAATTGTGTTGGAAGGGTTATAAAGAAATGCTTGAGCTTAATTTTTCTGCTTGAAATATTCAGGAACAAGTGGTCCAATTTTTTTTTTTTTCATGGCAAACAAAATATTCCCCAAGTTTTGTGTTCCTTCTTGCTGGCGATCTGCTCACACAGCAATTCTGATTTCTAGGAAAGTATTTGTTATTTCTAAATATTTACTGGATGGTTTATGCAAACAAGTGTTGGCCTTATTCAAGCACTGATCATTTTTACCAGTCGTTGTTTATAACACACAATTTGTCATCAAAATCACATGGGCATTGTCTCCATTCTCTTACTGGACATATGACTTCTTAAAAAATGAGGAATAACAATGCTGGCAAGTGAATGAAGAATAACCAAGTCTTTCCTCATATGAATTTTTTCAACAAATAAACATTTAGGCCAAACTTAAAAGGTCTTGCAAATATTTGTCTGAATAAACCAGTCAGGGCCCATCTGAACACTTGCTGAGAGCAAATAACACAACCCAACAGCAAACAGCAAAGCAAATTTCCCAGGCTTGTTTGTAAAAGTAATCTTCAGCAAGTATTTTGGGTTGTTTGACCAAATACACCCCGGTGTTTACTCACAGAGGTTGCTGAGCTTGAAGTCATCTTCCTAAGCAAAGCAGGTGAAATATGAACTGAATTCATATGGTATTTATGCTATTTTTAAATGATTTTTGAAAAATAAATAGCCCTTTATTTTTTATATTAAACACTGAGATTCTTTTTGTAATAGAAAATTTAAGGAAAATTCTGTTGACTGATGAGGAACTTTGCTGTGTAAAATGCCAGTAGTTTTCTTTGCTTGCTCTAGTAGTGAAAACTCTTCTAATAATGTTTTTCTCCCTGTTTTATTTATTTGTTTGGGTGAGGATTGTTTGTGTTCTTGCTTTTAACCAATGGGATCATCAGTTGGGAGCAATTTTCTTCCCTGGGACAGAGTTTAATGCCGCTGGAAGTACTGGGAAGTCAGCAAGTAATTAATAAATGCAGTGAGTAAATGGTGGCTTATCCAACAAAACCCAAATTTAAGATCTTGGGACGAGGTGGTCTGAGAAGATTAAACTCCACTTGGCTGGGTTGTGCTGAATAATGATTGAACACCCAGAGCATCTCAGCCCTGCATCTCCCACTCTTTTTATTTTATACATCACAATTACCAGCCATGATCTTCATTCATGACTTATTGTGGGCGACAGGCCATAATCCTCATTCATGACCAGCTAGAACAGAAAAAAACTCAAAAAACCAACAAAAAGCCAACCCACCACACAAAACAAAAGCCCTTCATGGTACTTAGAGAGAACATGACATTATGCAGAGTTTCCCTCATTCTGAGAGCAGTACAGATACAACAAATGCCACAGCAGAGATGCTTTTAAAGCATCTGTTTAAAAAAAGAAAAAAAAATTTAAAATGCAGCTTCCCTAAGTTGTTGTGGGGAAGAGAAAAAAGCAGGGTGAAATTGCAAACATGTATATCATTACTGCAACTGCATTCCATTTATTTTCCTTTTGCAAAATAAATTACATAAATGGGGTTTGTATTGTTAGCTATTCTTCATTCAGAGATTGGGATAATTAGGTTTCAAATACGGTGATGTTTTAAAACACATTTAATTTAGTAAAATTGGTAAGGAAGCTACAGCAATTAAAAATAAAGGACAAAAGTTTCTTTTGCCTTCCTGGGTAATTTGGGGTGAATTTAGACTATGGCATTAGAAGTACAAAAGGTAACTAAAAATGCCATTAAATGAAATGTTCCCAGTCCAAGCAATTTCCTTCTTAACAGAAAGTAAAATGCAAACAGAGATTACTAAAACCCTGCTGTGTTTAATTTAAGTGTATGTAAGCCTTTTACTCACAGTTATTTTGTCTGGAGATAATCATGTAGATCCTCAGTGGTCAGAGCTGTGAAGCGTGTGTTGTCAAAAGTTGCTCACTCTTTGATTCCCCCTCGCTTCTGTCAGCCATGGTTCACATCATGCAAGCTCAGCTCATTCATCTTCTGACAGGGTGGGATTCTCCCATTCCTGTCTCCATCAATTTGTTCCTGTCGCCTCTGGATTGCTCGCAGAAATGCCGAAAAAGTGTGCGAGCTGGGTGTAAATTATCATTATTTCTCTGGCTAACTGCAGGGATGGAGCACATCAGCAACAGGCAGGGGTAGGGTTGTTAAACCAGAGGGAAAACTCAGAATCTTCTGTAGGTTCATTATGCTACAGAAATGAAAGGGCTGGAGAGGCATTGGATACAGAGCCATGCACTGACGGGCTGTTCTGGAGAGGTTTGGTTCGTGCTTCCCAGAGGGAATTCTGTGCAGCCAGAAATCAGGGGCTGCACAGAATTCCTGGTTCTCTTTTGGGCAGGGGGGTCAGTGAGGATTTTGCCCCACAAAAAGAGGTTCTGTGTGGGGAGTTTCTTTTGGCACAGAGATTTTTGTGTTGGTGCTTTATATTGGTACCTTATATCTGGTCTGAGTGTGCTCCAGGAGAGGTGAAGTGAGGAGATTTTTTGTTACCAAAGTCTTGATTCATGACAGTTTTCACTGTGTAGACAGTTGCTTCTGCTTCCATAGGGACCAGAAACTGCATTTACCACTAAGGCAGTGGAAGCAGAGTGGATGTAAAACATTTTGCACCTGCCAGCCATGGAGTGTGGAATATTCACAGCAGCCACCAGCTGGGAATGAGCCAAAAGCTGTGATGCAGAGAAGGCTGAGGTGCTCCTCAACTGGCAAAGGCAAAACTCCAACATCCCAGGATTCAGACCAAGCAAAATGAGACTGGGAGGTTCAACAGCAGCCAGGCTGCCAGCACATTCCAGCCTGAGACCTTGGGTGCCACCTCAGATCCACCAGCTGCTTTGGTTTGCTTCTCTGCTCGTGTTGTCCTTCATTTTCAGCACATGCTGTAACTGTACATAAATTTTTCTAGGCAGAAAATGTAGCATTTTTAGGAGTTCAGCTTCTGTGAGTTGGCAATGAAAAGACCAAGAGCACCAGGTTATGGTCAAGTGAGGCGTTCTCCAAAAAAATGTGTCTCCTAAAATCATGGATCCCAGTTTGGGTTGGAAGGGACCCTAAAGCCCATCTTGATTGTGTACCTGCCATGGGCAGGGACATCTTCCACTACCCCCTACAAGATCTATCCAGCCCATCTTGAACACTTCCAAGCAACAGCTTCTCTGGACAGCCATTGCCATGGCTTTGGAACCTTCAGAGTGAAGAACTTCACTCCCCAGAGTGAAGAACTTCAAATCCAAATTTCTCCTCTTGAGCTCTCCTTGAGCTATCATTGTCTGCCTTAAGAAAAAGTCACTCCCCCTGTTTTTTGTTACATCCACATCACTGAGGTGTGAGCTCAGTGCCTCTTCTGATGTCTCTGCTTGGATCTTGAACCACACAGGGATTTATTCACCAGCCTCCCCTCCCTGAGCCACAGGGCACCACGTGGTGAAAGGCAGCTGGGGGAAAACAGCAGCTTCCACTCTCCCAGAGGTTTTCCAAAGGATTTCTTCCTTCCAAAGAGGAAGTTTCCCTCTTTCCTCTGAGGCTGGACATCATTCCTGAGCAAAGCTGCTTTTCAAGAAAGTTTCTTTCTACGTGATAGATTTATTTTTCCTGCAGGTTTTTTGTTCTTGGTTTTGTTCAGGGTTTTTTTGGGTTTTTTTTTTTTTTTTTTTCACTAGGGGTGTGGGTGTTTGGCTTTTTTTGGGGTGTATTTTTCAGTGGTTGTTGTTTGGGTTTTTTTGGCTGAACATTAAGATGCTATATTTTTGCTTGTAGGCTACTTCTGCAAACTCAAACTCAATTCACTCCCACAGAAAACTTATCACATCTCCTACCCTGCAGAAAAAAAAAAAAAAAAAAAAGGTGTTTTGCTCTATCATCTGGGCAGGAGAACACAAAGATGACCATGATGTTTAATAAGACTTTTATATCCTCTTAGATTTTTCTCTTGTCCTTGGCACATTGAACAAAGTAGCTCTGACACATTTATTTCTTTTAATATGAGAGTTAGCAGAGAGAGAATGATGGCAATTACCCCTCTGCAGGGAAGAGCCTCTGCTGGGAGGGCACCAAGAGCTCTGCTCTGACTCTCCTCTTCTTTAATGTGCTCTGGGAAATTGAATGTGAATTAGGGGGATGCAATGTGCATTCTCCTCATTTCACCTGGCCTGACTCCTGCCTGGGAGACGTGGCTTAAATAAAGAGAAAATAAGGGAGGGAAGAGAGGAATTTGAGTGCAAATAGGAAATGGTGACATTAAATAGAAAATTTAAAGCAATCTTAAAGTATATTTTTCTGTTAAGCATTGTTGTTGGGGTGTTTTACCTCGTCAGCTCAGCTGCTTTAGGTCCTCCAGCAGCTTCTCAGATGGGAGATTTTTCCCTTTGTCCTGTGGAAATCCATCTGAGAGCAGACCTGAGCAGAGACACGGCCTCCAGCACCCACGACCCTGGCACAGGGAGACACTGAACGTGTACAACCCCTGGCTGTTCACTAAGGAGGCATCAGAATTCCATGGCAAATCTGTTGGGGAGCTCTCATATCTTAGCATCAGCCATGTCCTGAAGAAGGATGGATTTTATCAGTGATAAAAAAATCCTATTGACCTGCCTGCCATAAGGAAGTGCTGGTTTGGGATGGTTTTGGGCAGGGGATTGGACAGGCAAGTAAAATAATTTCATTTTTCCAAGAAACGCTGTCACTGTGGTTAAGAACAGAGAGGATTCCTGTGTCTGTGCTGGTATCTTGTCAGGATAATTTTGCAGGGAAGAGTTCCTGTGTTTGTCAATGAAATGAAAAGTATTTCTGGCCAATTTAAAAGAAGTTATAAATGTTGGAAGAGTATAGGAGCTTGATTCTGGAAATGCTAGAATATTATGGTTCTTTGCCAATCTTTTGATATTAAATGCACTACAGTTTGGAGAGCAAATATTTTATTTATTTTATATTTTTTATCTTTGCTATTTTGTGTGTGCATGATGATCATCTTATTCCTTGGTGTACATTTTCATGGTGCATTTCATTTTTTGTAGAGATCTGACAGAAAACTTGTATCTGAATTCAATTATCTGCTGGGGAAAGTCAGCCACGTGTGTGTTTCAGGAAGACTTTGGATTGCTATCAAGATTTGTCCTAACCATAAACTACTAGGTTACCAAAAATCTCAGCTGGGAGGACAGTTCAATCTTAAGGTTAGGAAATGATCACAAGTACCAGTGACTACCTTTAATCACAGCTTAGTTTGCCAAGGAGAATTTCCTTGGTACAGTCTTCTGTACAGAATTATAGAAGATTATAGTTGGGTTTTTTTTTTTACTTTAGGAAAGGCTTGTTTTTATTTCTCAGTATAAAATGTTATTATATACCTGATAAGTATGGTCTGCAAGAAAATCCAAATGCTGTCTTGCAACAATAATGGTTTTTCATTAGATCTTGTGTCATTAGACACTTAAGGATTAGTTCTGTTAACTTAAAAAAATTTAAAAAAAAAACAACACCATGTTTATAGTTCTGGAAATGAGGTTTTGTGGAATGATGTGAATTATGGTTATGTGCAGACACTTGGAATAAGATTGTTTCTGAAGAGCTGAAGGAAAAGTTGCAATATATGAAGTTTTTAAAAGGCTTCAGCCTGGAATGAAAACAGTCCTCTCCCTGCTCCTGCCCTCCCCCTTGGTCTCCTTGTGGCTCTGGGGGAATCCTTGCCCTGATGGGAAGGAGGATGATGTGCCAAGGAAGCCAAGCAGATTCAGTGTCAAGAACTTGCTCCTCTTTAATTAAAATAGGGATTAAAATCATCTTCTGGATGCCTCCAAAACCAACTTTTCCCTCTATCAGAAAAACATCTCTCCTCTTATTCTCAAACACTCAGGACAGCTGAAATTTCTAGAACTCTTAAATAAGTTTATACTAAATTCTTCTTCTTTCCTGATATTCCTTGTCAAAATAGTCTTGCTCAGTTTTCAAATACCTCTTTGCTCAAATTTCCATTTTCTGAATCGGAGAATTCCTTGGATCACTGCTGAATAGCTGGTTAAATTGCTCATTATGCACCATTTTCTGGTAAACACTTTTTATATTTGGGAAGCATTCTTGATTTCTGTGACTGCTCAGATATTTTTAGATACCTCACAAACAGTAGCTGTAGGTGTTCAATTGTTTTCCATTTTGGCTATTTCCAATTCATCCTTGGTTCACAGTGTACACTATTGCTCTCCTAAGAGATATGATATTTACCCCCCTCTCATCTTGATTAGATCATTGAAGCTTTTTTAAAGAGGGAAATAATTAATAGTTCTTGGTGAATGATCAAATGAAAAGGCAATTAATGAATAATGCACACCCTGCACAAATTTTCAGACATTGATCATCTGTTAATTTTGTGCAATCTTTTGAATTCAGATATTTTTTCATTCACAAAACCCGTGGTCATGTGTATGCAGGGCATGAATGACAGCAAAGAAAAACCAGGTTATTTCTTACAGAGAAAAAGAAAACCAGCCCCAAATCACACAAGCTTTCAGTTGTTCCAGCTCTTCTCTCTAGGCTTTGGTGACTCAGTTCTTCTACTCTCATCATCACCTACAACCAGGGACTAAAACAAGATGTTTTACAGCGTGTTGTGGGTATTTCTGTGTGCTCTCCCCAGGCTCCAGGAACTCTGTGGTCACTGGGAAATTTGGGAAACAGCAGTGGGCTGAGAGCTCCCTGGGAGCCTCTGGCTGTGCCTTTGGCTGGCAGTCACCTCCTTTGATGGATCGCTGTTTTTGGTGGACTCTGGGTCTCTGCTTTGGGACACACACAGTTTTGGTGGTTGTTTTTTATTTTCTTTTCATTTCCTCTGATGTGCAGCGAATTGGAGAACTGGAAAGGCTTAAAAATCTTTCTTTGGCAAGTGATGCCACAGGACATTTTTCATAATTAGCCTTGTAGGAGTAGAAGGGGTTGATTTTGTTTGCTTGGCTCCACCTGGTCTCTCCCAACTCCTCTCCTCAGGACTCCTTTAACCAGGGTGGGACAACTCTAGCAGGGCTGAAATGCTGAGATTTTCCCTGTCACCTATGGCTGCCTGAAATATCACTAAATTTAGGGATGTGGCCACCAAGGGGCCGCAATCTCTGCCCAGCTCCTGGTGCAGTATGTACACATTAAAAAATCCCAGCCTCCAAGAGGCTGAAATCGTCATTCTGCTGAAAAATGATCTGTCTGCAGGTAGAAAAGAGGAGAAATACTGACTGAAAGAGTCCTACCCCAGTTCTGTACATTCTTCAGGCACAGTCCTGAGCCTAATTTTTCAAATTCTCTGCCTCTGAATTCACGTTGCTAAAGCTCTGTTGAGAAGCCACCTCTGCATCTGAGGACCAAAGTTTAGGCTTCGGCATCTAAATCATCCCAAAACTCAGATTTTTGGGTGCTTTCATGGACCTGACTCCATATGTCTTGTTTGGGATGAAAGATGCAATTTTCAATGATTTTAGGAAAAATACACTGCAAGACTTTAAGCCAAATAAATTATATTTTGGGGCTTTATTAGTTGTGACTACTGCACTGAGCTTTGTACATAGATTATAGTGAATTATGAATGGAAAATTTAGAGGGCTTTATTTATCAAGCTCATCTAAATGAGCAATATTTTATTAATACAACAAAAATATAATGAAAAAGTAGGTGAAGTTTATTAAGTTGAAAAATAATCTTAACATTGCCAATGTTCTTCTCTCATTCACTTCTGGTGGGATCAGGTTGAGTTGTATTTATGTAAGTGTGTGTACATATATGTAAAGCACACACACATGTATGCATATAATATTTTTTTTTAGCTATTTTAGTTTTAATTCATAACTACTGAGCTCCAGTTTATTATAAGGTTACTCAAGACAAACTGCTCCATTTCCTCTATTATCCAAACAGAAATGGTTTATGGTCAGCCTGGTCAGGATCAAATTCAAATGGCCTCAGAGTTCAAAGTGATGGTGATGACTCGAGCAAACCATTTTTGTAATCTGTAAATTCCATTTCTGAAAAAAAAAAAAAAAGGAAAAATAAAAGAAAAAAAAAAGAAAAATTGGCTGGAGCTTGTAATGGCTATGGCAAGATTTTGCAAGGTCAAGAGAAAAGAGAGCGTTGTGTGTTTTGACTCTGTCTCAGGACAGACACTGCATATTTGTGAATGGGTTCATGCTATGC